GCTTTGGCATCCAAAGACAACTTGCAGTAAAGTTTGGGCAGTCTCCATAACAATGGATCTTTTCCCTTTTATTTAAGACAGACCTACTGATATCATCATACTCTGTACCTCAGGGCCTTAATATTTTAAGGTTCCTGACAGGAAGCAACTTTTCAGGCCCTTTTTTTCAGTGGTGGAAATATGCAGAATGGTTCCAGTTTAGGTTATCAAATCAGAACAGAGCCGACTTTGTGTTGATGCAGCTACAACCCATGTCAACAATAACCCATTTGGCAAAACACTATATTGGTCAATTAAATACCCGCAGCTACACACTCCTGATAAGAGCCGATCACTTCGGGACATACATATGGTGTTCCTATTATTTACCTCAAAATCACCGCAATGAAAAAAGAATTTTATGGCTGTGAGAATTTTCGAAAATTGTAAGGTTTTATCTGTGAGTATTTCAATGCTGTGCAGGGTTTGATAAACTTCTATAAATTATCTGTTACTCAAACTGGACTTCCTGGATCAGTATCTTAAAACCCACACCCATCCATAAAACTTGAAAACACATTACGTTGGTGTATCACACAATTAGAAATACCGCATATTTGCATTTTACTTCATCACACATTGACACTGATGCATGGAGGACAAACATTAGTCAGAAAAACTGCTCTACGGCATCAAAGAACTAATCTTGTTTGAAACTGGACTGGACAACATCAAAAAATGTACTGCGTCAGGATCACTTCACCCAACCTAACCCTAAAAACTACCATCAAATACGTAACAAACTCCTATCCCCCACCCTACAAACATATCTTACTGCTGCACGCTGACAGACTGGAATGTCTTTCATGAGAAATGGATGCACAGTGTCACCGCTTTAGCCTCAGCGTCTGAGTCTTAGCCCTCCATTAAATGGCAGCCAGGAAAAACTGACAAGGCAAACATGAAAGCACAGACATGTTTTAGTGTCTGCAGACTGAGGCCACGAAAGGCTTTTACAGAGATACAACATGAGCTGCAGGAGACTAAAAAGCACACAAAGGATCCTGTTTAATGAGTCTGAATGCATCTTCCTCCAACCTTATGTACCATATACAGAGAATTATTTATTGAATTTTTTTGCTGTATGTTACCAGTGGCAACAAAAACAAGCTGATTTCAGAAGAACTTGGATGCATGTACATGACACATTTGGGCAAAGGATCGATTGCTTTACTTTTCCATTCCGACTGTGAACGAATGAGACTGTGCCCTGTAACCACAGCAACAGCAGAGGCAATACAACCAGGGTCAACATCTAAAACCAATTTTCATGAGCATTACTTATTTGGAGAAAATATAAGACTGAAGTCTAAAACTGTAATTTGGGGGATTTTCATCAGTTTTGTCCTCGTTATTATAGTTGCCCTGATCAGGGGGGACTGTAGAGAAATCGGTCCTGTCTGTGTGTCTGTCTGTCCGTGTGTCTGGGAACAGTCTGTAGCTCGAGTGCTAAGGTCCAACAAGTAGATATATTACTGGTGAGCTCTCCTCTGAATGATTAGATTTTGGGGTCAATCAGTGAAAACATAGCTCTGTTATAGCTCAAAAGCCATTTTTACAAAAATGCTGGCCATCAGGGACAACTATATCCCTCTACTGAGGGCTTCTAGTTTTCTATTGTTAATACCTTTTCTTGGATTTCTTCACTTTATTTTGTTTACATTATATATTTAGGTTTTTTGTTTGTTTTTGTTTTTTTTACCAGAAAACAACATGACTTTGGTTTTGTCATCATTTAGCACAAGTCTGAGGTGTAACAGATGTGACTGGATGATGTCAAATGCTGACTGCAGATATTTAAAAGCCAAGGCAACAGTACTTGCACAACAGTAAATGATGGTGTCATCAGCATAAAGATGAACAGATGCATTTATGTTATGACCCAGGTTGTTAGTCTTCTGCCCTCAGCTAAATGTGACTATTTAGCCTATGTAGCGAGCTTAACATAAATGGCCTCAGAAAGCACTCGGGAGACGGTGTTGAATTCTTAAAGCTTTACTGATGTACCATTTGTGATTTTGTAAAACTGCAACAGAAACAGAATAATAATAATTCAGTCTCCATATAAATGTATACATAACACATTCCATTTCAATGCCACATGTAAATAACCAATCCAAAGCCATGACATTAGTGACATCGTAAGTAATACAACATGCCAAATGCTATATATGAACGCATTTCATGCTAACAGGCAAACGAGGAGCTAACAGCTATCTTAGTGTGTTTAAGTAGCAAACTCACTGTACAGACAGCAACCACTTCACACTAAAATGCACCAACAATCAGTCCTTTCATACCATACTTACAGATTACACCATACTAAGAGCAGCAGATGCAGGAATCGGCAGAGACATTGGACATGGGACCTTTCCCTCTAAATGCTCGGACAAAATGCCACTCTCTTTGCTAATACAAGCTTGCTTGCTGCTTCCGCTATACAACCACTAGATGACAGTGTTTGCTACAAAACAGACTAAGATGAGTTAACCTATTAAAGGTACATTTACTAGATTAATTAAAAAATAAATGACTATACACTGTTATACAGCAAACTTGTAATGCAAAACATATTCTCAGAACTAGTGTGAAGGGCAGAACAGTTAGTATAAATAGCAAAAAGAGTGGGTCCTAAGACAGAACCTTGTGGCACACCTTAAGTACCATTAAGAAAGCTGGAGGAAAGACCCTTGAACTGCAAACATTGCTTAGGAATACAGAGATAGTTTGAGAACCAGCTTGATCTGATAGGTCTATATCTGACAGCTTCTGACATAAAATCTTGTGGTCAACGGTATCAAATGCCTTGCATAAATCAATGAAAAGTGCAGCACAATAATTCTTAGTGTCCAAGACTTCCACAACATCATGGTCTGTAATTGTTCACCAGAATAGGATCACCACCTTTCAATAGGGGGAGTACAAAAGCAGATGTCCAAACATCAGGAAAATGTTGTTTTGCACAGAAAGATTGAAAATATGTGCTATGAGCTCAGCTATAATGTTCGCTGCCAGGTACTTATCGTCTGGCCCATAAAAGCCTTACTGATCTCCCTGACAGAGAAGGGGGTGAAAAAGAAAGTCTGCTTGTTGCAGACATGACTTGTGGGAGAAAATTTGGCTGATTTACCAGCAGATACTCTGTTGAACAAGGAGCCAAATTCAATAAAGTGTTTGTTAAAACAATTAAGCATCTCAGATTTACTTGACACAGAGACAGAGTCAATAATTAATTGAGGACAGTTCTGATGAGAGGGAGGTGGCAGAGAGAGATTTTATAGTTTGCTAAAATCTCTGTGATTATTTAGAATTTTTGTGGTCTGAGATAGGTAGTAATCACGTTTTGTTTTTTTAAATGAAAGCAGTACAACAGGGGGGAGGGCAGTGGCAGGTATTCGGATCTCAAAATTGCTATCCAGATTACACAACAGTCCTTTGTGTAAGAAGCCAGAAGCTGGAAGCCTGCCTTCGCACAGCTCTGTCCAGGTACAGTAGCCAAACACTGTATTTCCACTTCACCTTGCAGGGTCACTGCAGCAGGTCTTCCCCCAATAACAACGAACGACAGACTACCTTCCAAAAAATAAAATAAAACTAGATATTTTGCTGCTGCATGCACAAATTTTCAGGTTTTTCCCAACTTCAATGGGGTTGTTTGTCTTTGCCATGGTTAGTTGATGGGCTACACACTAGCAAGACTATATATGTTTTACAGTCTGTGCAGCTACGAGTGGCCAAGGACAAAACATTGCTGATGATACCCTGTTAGCTGAAGAGTTGGAAATATTGCTACTACCTAAGGTAATAGTACTGCTACTCAGCATCAGAACTAGCCACACAGTTTAGCTTAGCACCAAAAAGCACAATTGTTGACAGTCTTCTGTGAGAAGCAAGAAGAGGTTTTTGAATAAAAGCCAACACCATGTCTATTAATGAGGGGGAGGGTCCCCAGCCCTCCTGACACAGATGACACCATGCCCATTAGCCAGGGTTTGGTAATGGTATTTGAGTTTCTGATGATGTCATGCAGAAGGCGTGAGAGAGAACACCTGGGCGCCACCAGCAGCACATACCTGTCATCATTCATGTACAATGGGAGGAATTTGTTCATCTTTATATATTGGTACAAACTGTATCAAAGATGGTTATTGGCCAAAAGGAAGTTCTATGGACATGCACTGATTGTTCTTCAGTGACCCAAACGTTCATCTCATTGATTTGAATCTGAGTTATAGGAACTGTGAAAACTGAATGAGGAACAATAGAGAGACCCGGGTTTTCAGTGAAGCTGGCCTATTGCCATCATTCAAGGAAAACACTGCGAATTTAAATTATGTGATTCAAATTCATTTTTATACACGTCTTCAAGCTGCGCAGTTTAAATTCAAATGCACATGACTGTAGTTCGGTTGCTCGTGCCAGCAGCAGTATCTGTCCACCAACATCCGTGCATGGACGCCTGCTGGCACCTGTCGACGGTGACTCCAGCTCATTCACCCTCAACACCGGGGACCAGATCGTGTGTCCTCTCTACGCGGACACACCCAGCAGCTGAATACACACACACACACACACAACTGAACTCTCCCCCTCTCACTTTCCCTGGCCCTCCGGGACTGGAGAGGCTGGCGTGACCCGATAAGCCCCGCAGATAACAGGGAAGACTGGCGGAGAATCTAGGACAACATTTCTGTGGAAAGATACAGGAAAACCAGTCGGACGGGTTCCTGTGCAGCCTGCTACAGATCAAAACAAGTGTCCGTTTTCTCCCGACACTCTCAGCTGAATCTTATTTTCACGTTCGTTGATTCGTTTAAAGCAAATCCTGACACCGAGCACACACCCAGAGCACACATCACACAGCCGAGTGGAAGTTTGCTCCGTGAACGCAGACTGGTGCGTCCACGCCACGTCGCTCCCACCGCCAATCCGCAGCTTTCCTGCCTATAATCGGATTTTACCTTTAATGTAGTTGGATTTGGAGTCATCCAGCAGACTGGACGCGGAGATCCCCATGATGCTGCCGAGCGAAGAGGATCCACAGGTAGGCTTCAGTCCTCAGGTACAAACAGCGTCACATCAGTCTGGAGAGGAGGAGGAGGACTGCTGCTTGCTGCTGCTCCTCCTCCTCCTCCTCCTCCTCTAAAAGGCTGTGCCATTCAATGACACTTAGCCAGCAAACAAACTCCGGTATTTTAATGCCCAAATGCACCTGATACTCTCCTCTGGTTCTCTTCATTTCAGTCCATCTAGCAATAATTTAAATAACCAGAGTCAGGGAGGGAAATTAGTCATATATTGTTGTACTACATCTCTAATTAGTAATTCTTGAATAATTCATTTATTAACAGTCCTCTAGTGAGTGTGCCTTTAAAAGGACAAGATACTGATTTTATAAATGAAGTTTATTTTACTGGTTTAAGTCCCACTGAAGGCATCGGTGTCTGGATGGATTGTGAGAACAGAGGCCTCTGGGCATAGACATGTCCCCAGCCCCAAACCACCATGACCAGAACAAGGCACAGAGACTGAAAGCAGCAGCAAAGCCATTTCTTCGTCTTTTTGTAGTTGTTTCCTATCTCTTTGTGGTCCATTTGTGTCTTCTTGTAATCATTTTATGATGCCTTGGTCGTGTTTTGAGTGTCCTTGTGATCCTTTTGAGTTTCCCTATATTTGCTTTGTATCTCATTGTTGCAATTTCTCTGTATTCGTTCTTGCTTCATGTTTTGTTGTGACTGTTTGACATCTCTTTGTAGGTCTTTTGTGTCTTTTTGTGGCAGACTAAACCATAGACTCACAAAATGACTACAAAAGACACTTATTTATAGTCATTGTCATGTGCGGTCGCTCTGTCTTTGTGGTCGTTTTGCATGTTGTTCTGGTTCTTTCATGTCTCTTCAGTGATTTTGTTTCCTTATGGCAGTTCTGGTTTTGCGTTTCCACATCTCTTGTGTGTCCATAGTAGTTTGTGTTTTTTGGCAGTTGCTTTTTTTCTGCTTTTGTGGTCATTTTATGTCCCTTTGTAGCGATTTGTTGGCGTTTTGTTTGTGGTCCTTTTGCAACTTGGTGTAGTTGCCTTATGTCTCTCTGTACTTCTTGACGAGGACTGTGATTACTCGGTTTTAGTTCTGTTTCTAGTTAAAGATTTGTGATATTTGTTGTTGTTTTATTTCTTATGTACCGCTTGGTAGTCCTACTGTAAATGTTTTGTTTTGATTTTACTATTTTCTTCTCAGTATCACTGTATTTTTTGCTGTCAGAGTATCCACTGCAAATGCATATTATTGATCAATTATTGTATAATCAGACTTTGCAGAAAGATTTTATTATGTTTTTATGAGGTAAACAAAAAAAATTAGAGAAAAAAGCAAAATGTGTACAATATGGACTTTTAAAACAAATAAATAGAGAGACAGTAGATAAACTCGGCTCATCTGTGCGGTTGCAGGATCAGTTTAAAACAAAAATGTGTTTAAAATAAAAATCCACCTCAGTTTTAGTTTGTTAAAAGTTTGTTCCAGTAAAAGCACGTCCGATCACAGAGCGGTGGGTGGATTTTTTAAAATATCAGTGCAGTCAGAATTTTGCTTAGGTGTGAAGAGGCAGCTGGAGTGGAGCAGAAACAACATTTTCTGTCAGGTGTTGAAGAGCTGGAAACAACCTCAGCTTCTCTGCTGGCTTCCGGTGTACTCAGGTTGTTTTCTCAGTGCTAACACTCTTCTGAGCGGCAGTAGCATTGGTGTATGTGGGCACGCTGTACTTGGTGAGAACAGATTTAAACTGCAACAGCGTGGCATCGGTTCGAACCCCCGTTGGGTCAAAGTGAGTCCGACTCACCCTGAAGCCAGCCTCTGTGAGGTACTGCAGGAACTTGTTCAACCTGTACACAGAAATAATGAACATAAATAAATATTCAGACCCAAAATATCCATACAACCAAGTAAATATACTCCATTACAAATAAAACTGTAGTCAAATCCTACTTGAGGAAAAGGTATTTGCAACATGGACCTAGAGTTTAAAAGACTGCAATACTTTTGTGCTAATATCTGATCCTTTATGGGATTGTTAACACTGATGCCGCAATGTGTAAACACCATTTTACTGTTGCAGTTTAGTCCGTTGGTTTGCCAGTCTAGGCATTAGATACATCTGCGGTGCTGTGAAACAATTTTTGGTGTATTTATGGAAATTTTGTGGCTGTTTATGTTCCTTTTGTCTCTGTGGTTGTTTGACATCATTTTGTCATCATTTTGTGATGGCATTTCATGTTGGATAGGGGCTTTGTGAGGTTTTCTATAAGGGAAATCTGAAGAGTCAAAGGAGCTACTTGGCACACCTCATTCAATTAAATTTTCAATTCAATTTTATTTGTACAGCGCAGTTTACAGCACATGGTATCACACAGTGCTTAACAAAGTAAGGTATAGACCTTACAAATGGTAGCAAGTAGATCAATTCTCACTGTTGATGAAAAAATGGAAGGAATCAACTAACGGACTACAAAGCCTTAACTTCTCTGTTCTCTGATAAAAGAAAATATCTATAGATTTGAATGTTTGCATTTGACCAATCTTCCCCTTTTTTGTCTCAGGCTGACCACAATGTTTTCTACTTCTTGTCCTTGGGTCCTCAGAGATAGAGTTTCTTCCTACAGACACTTTGCGTCCACGAAGACCTCTACATTAGAAGACAAAATGTAAGCAGTCACTCACTTTGGCATGTTCATGCCTCGGATGCTGTGGCGATGGATACTGTAGTAGAAGGGTGGGTGTTCCAGAGACACATCAGACCTCAGCTTTTTCACTATGTTCCCAGATTCCTCTCCGGTCTTCCTCTTCCCTGCAGAAAAATGGAAAATCATACTTGAACAGAAAACTAAACTCAGAGCTTTGATGCAATGTGCAGCAAGTTAAAGTGTAAGCATATGTATATTATAGTAAGCTGAAGTTTCACAGATATATTTCTAAATATTCATATATTATACATTTTTTTTAAATAATTCAGGCAAATCAGAGACTGTCGTTTAGAATCTTTTGTAAAAATGTTATAATTTTAGATGGAATGACTTTAATATGGTTATATCTGCTGTGATAAAAGTACAGTATACTGGTGACACAACAATGAATAAAAAAACAACTTCTCTGGAGAGCTTCTTTGGAAAGAGGGAGGGACTCGATGCTGACACGAAAGAAAAAGTAAATACACATTTAACCTTAAAGTTATTTTATTCGTTTATGACACTTTAAATAGAATAACTAATTTTTAGATGTTATGTGCGTGATGACTGGTCCGTAGAAAATTCTCTTACTTGAACCCGGCCAATGGTGCAAAAAAGATTGGAGACCGCTGTACTAGAGGACACGTAAACTTACAGTATCGTCATATCATATAACCCCAACTTTTTGCAGGTGTTTTACCTCATTGAAAGTCAGCCCTAAATTCTGAATGCTGACTGAACCTGCTCTGTATTCGGTTATCACACACAATTTTGGGGTATTAGATCAGTTAGAAGTTCACGTGTGTGTGTGCAAATACTTTGTAGGAAAACTGAAATGAGAAGAGGACTAACTGATGTTTCTAAAACCTGTGTGACTGACTCACCAGACTGATCAGCAGGACCCGACTCCTCCCCGCTCTGTAAGGTTTTAATAACAACTCCACACTCCACTACAAATGAAAAGGAGATTCAGTCAACATGGTTTGTCCTACAAATATCACATAACCATTACAGATGAAAGACTGTTACCCTGGTTGATGAGAGCAGATGGCCCATGAACAAAAGATTTGAGGGTGGTGCACTCAGACTCGCAGATCAGAGTTTTGACGAGTGGCTGGATGTCATCCATGCTGTGCTGTACCGCTGCAGACAACATCCTTCTCAGAAAGCCGGTATTAAACAGAGAGCCAGACCTACACACATACACACATGTTACAGTTCTACTGGTTGACTCACCAGATGTAGGATGCAGGTGTAAGTTACAGTTTATTCCAGTTGGCTATGTTCTCCCTTCCACTGTGTTACCGTTTTCTCCACGATGGGAAACAGCCTCCCAGCCGCAACCTACCACACCTAAAATGTAAGTTTTGCCAATGATTTGGACCGTGCAGTAAGGCAGCCCTGTTAGTCTTTTGCAGTGGATTATTTATTTTATTCACAGTGAGTGTCTCTGTGCATACAGATGTTTCACCCCAGCAATTCCACCCCTCAGTAGTTTGAGGGAACTCTAAAGCCGCATCCTTCACTTACTGCACACAATGGCTGTGATTTGTTTTTAAGAAATACAAACAAACCAGAGTGTTTTTCCTACAAAACAGAATGTTAGTGAGATACGGCTAGACAACTGTGTACTACAGAATGTGTTGGCTAAGCAAGACTACGATAGTGCATCAATAACTGAACCTTATATGTGCCATGTGGAGTTGTTGACTTCTAGTAACACTGAGAATGTTCTTCTATGGGAGGGTCTGTGTCTTGTTTCTCTCTTGGCCACATGTAGGTGATGGAATAAACAGATATACCAATGATATTAAAATGATCACAACAGACATTTTTAGGTACACAACATATATCCACATTAGTGTTGAAATCATCCAAACCGTACACTATATTAAAGAAACGAATGTAGCGTTTGGGTCTGAAGATTGTAGCCAGTGCACAAGTGCCTTAAACCTCAATTCTTTCTAATGGCCAGTTGGGGGTGACTCCTCTCTTGTGGAGAGAATTGTGATTCAAAGTGTGGATCGTGATTATGCCACAAAGACTGACATAATGCCTTTTTGCCAGATTGCCCACTCTTGACAGGATCATGAACAAAACAAACACTTGGGATGGATGGAAGATGGATAGATGGACAGATAAAGACTGACTGAATACAGAATGTTTATCTACTGCACTGCGCAGTTAGTGAATACTTCAATTATTTCAGCTTTTTACAAGTCCTATGTTGATATTTATGAGTTCATTTTTTCATAAAGCCCACTATTACGACTGCTATTCAATGATTGTGTTTACATGTGCACCAGCTATGAGGCTTATGCCAGTATTCGTCATATTTGGGATATGGCGTTTACATGCAGCACAGAGAAATCTGGTTATTCCATACCCCATATACATGATAAATACTATTATCCGGTTACTGATTACAGTGTGCTCTTTGTGCAGGCGCCTATGATGTTTAGTACACAAACATGCCATTTCATCTGACATTCATGTAACTTTGGTTCAACAATAATAAACTTCAACATTGTGGTGCAAATTTGGCTCATTCATCGCATTGTCAGAAAAAGCAGATAAGCGCAACAGGAAATATTAAAGACTCGACTTCGGTTAAAATGAGGTTTTTCAACTTGTGTTTTTTTGTGGAAGACACACCATGAGCAAAATAAGTAGTCAGTGTCATTGCTGAGTTTTCCTGCCATGAAATTACAGTGTACCAACTCGAAAACACAGATTCAGACAGGTAGGGTTTTTATCCACAACAAATGTTGTGCAGATTAATTTTGCAGTGTTTGAGCAGAGTTACAGGTGAGCTGATGTGCTCATGCTTCAGCAAGTATTGGTGGGATGGGTGAAGAGAGTGGCAGAGACTTCTGAAATTTGCACACAGTTAAGTTACATATTGAAACAATGATGTAGTTACAAATGAGCGACTGGTCGGACAGGATTGTCATGGTGGAGGTCAGTGGCACCAAGTGGTCAGAAAAAAATTCTGCATAAGCCTAGATGAAACAACAGTACAAGCACCAGTTCTGTTGCCAATGACAGTGGCCATAGTGTTATACAAATTGCACAGTTGTGAAAAATATTGCTTGTTAGCCAACCAGTTATGGTTTTCACAGAAACAAGTGAAAAATCCACATGTATGTTCAGTTGTGACATGGTGGACAAAGCTATGAGTAACTTCATGAAATTTGTAAGCCAGCAAAACAGCATCCCTAATAATTGTAATTTATAATAACAATTAGTGCTTCTGTGACTTGGCAGAAGTCACATGTGCACACGTAGTACATACGCGTCTGTGTGTGCGCGACTGCATTTGTTATATGTGTATGTGTATGCATGGAGAGTGGGAGGGACGGGTTTACTTTATTTTTTAAATGTTGTAATGTTTTTAAATGTAATGTTTTTAAATGCTTTGTTGTTTTTAACTGCTTTGGTTTTTTTAAATGTTGTAAAGCACTTTGCGATAGTTGTTGTTGCACATGAAAAGTGCTATACAAATAAAATTTGATTGATTGATTGATTGATTGATACGCAGGCATGGATTCCAGATAGTACAATCGGGTTTCTCAAAACTGATAAACTCAGGTTTCTGAAATCAGGATACTTCAGAAACTGATCATAACCAGGATGCTCGCCTGCCATTGCTCTGCTGAACAAGTAGATCTACTTTCTGTTTTATTTACTTATTATTGTCTCTTTGCTATTTATTGTTGTTTCTGTGTGACTGTAGCATGGATTGATTGTTTTTACTGCTTGCTGCAAATTACCACACAGGGATAATAAAGACTCCTTGAACCATGAAAGTCCATGTATGGTCCATGTATCCATGTCATAAATTCACAAATTGAGCTCAGAAGAGCACAGTTTGGTTCTGATGTGCACTCCTTGTTGATTTTGTCTGAATGACACAGTTATCAAGTTTTGATGCTAAAAAGGAACATGCGTCACAGCTTTGGTCTTTATATGTATATACTTTTGGCCCTCAATGCACTATTTAATGTTACATGGAGTTCAGTATTCTATGCATAAAGATAATCATAACAATAATAATAATAATAACGCGTTGCTTGGCCACAAAAAGTTCACTTGCAATATGCAACAAAAAAATATTGTCAAAGAAAGTTATAAAAAGACGAAAAGTTAGTAAGTCAGTAATACTGACGAGGTCCCAGTATCTCCTCAGAGCCTTCAGACTTGTGCAAAGCTACAATACTATAACCAGTCAGTAAAATAAAACTACACAGTGACCCTAGTTGACGTTTAGGTGGTATTACACATTGATTTCCAACAGCCTTGCCTCTGCCGCTTCAGAAAAAAATAAAGTACTTTGAATTAAACTGAATGATGCCACCACCAAATAGAACTAAAATACAGTATTCACACATGAATACAGTATTTCGTGGCCTTTCATGCAGCTGAATGACATGTGTCTGTATCACTGTGTGCAGTGACACTGGGAGGTTTACCATAGAGGTCCTAGCTGCACTGCTGTCTTTCCAGGTAGACTTCCATGACAGTTACAGGGTAGCGTGTCTGGAAGAGACAGACATGAAGACACAATTTACTAAACTTATACAGTTATGACACTTCATACAAACAATGTTAATTTGCTGCAGTGTACCAGTGACAGTTGCCTTGATTAGTTTCTTTGCCAGCTAAATGTTTTTTATAGCTTGTAAAGACAGTCAGTGACAAACGTGATAATTAATGTCACAGCTCTTTGAAATTGCACTAACTGGGCATCAGATACACTGCATTAAGTTGCTGTTACTCACTACTTCCTGTGTATGCTCACACAAAAAAAGAAATGTAATTTGAGAGCAGTAAACAGTATGTATGTATTGTTAAACTGAAAGTGGACACAGCATTCATGGTGGACTTAACTGCACCAGTATTTCCTATCGACTGGCAGGACCTGTGTGTATTTTTGTTATCCCAATGTCATTACAGTATATCTGTCTCTACCTGTTGATGTTATATTTTGGTACACTGGTGCTTCTAACAACTGAATGCTGAAACCTTGAAAGTTCAGGTGAGTTCAGTAATCGCATGTCCTGTTGTATATACACTGTATTTGCATAAAAGTTGAAGTTTGTTTACATGGAAGTTTTTACTTGTCATTGTCATGTATATCTAAGTACTGAATTTGTATTATGTGTAAAATATATGAATACACCTTTCTTTGCAATGTTTTCATTCTCTGCTGAGGGCAATGCAACCTTGGGCAAAACACATGCCGCTAACATCAGCAACTCACCGTCCACCATGTTTCCCTGTTTGAGGAAAAGTCTCTCTTCACACCACTGACAGTGGACCAGTTTTCGTAACTTCTTGGCAGACTCATCAGCTTGCGTAGGACCTCTCAGTACTCTCACCACCACCAGTACGAAATGCTCCAATGCAACTGCCAACAGAACCTCGATGCCTTTGTTACAGCGTGCCGCCGCTCTTCAGCAGACAGCAGGAAATTAGGATTCCATTCTAGTTAAATTCAGTATGTCTTTGGGACAGAAATTAGAATGACCTACCTCGCCACAGTGGCCACAACCATGCGTGCAGCCAGCTCTCTGTAGTACTCAGTGCGCACAATGTGGCAGCCATAGTGACGCAGAGTCACGTTTGGGGACTTGGCATACAGGGAGCTTGTGTCTGTGGACGTCACTGAGATGATTCCCAGGTTGCGGACGTTTCTGAAGGCAGCATCCAAGTAGTTCACAGCTGTACCAAATGGATCCAGGTGACTAAAAGATTCAAGAGTTACGGACAAACTTTAAAAGCTAGTTTTCCATTGTTGTAGAATTCAAACCCTTCATACATCTATGACAGCCCACTGGAAGTTCCAGTTTAAATATAGTTCCAGTAACATTAAGTTCTCATCATGTTGTTGTTTGTTCAAATATTCATTCTTCTGAGCTGTTTGTTATTTGATATTAAAAAAATGTATACGTATCTGTAATCATTTGACAGCTGCTCTACATAAAGCAGTTGTGGACACACCTACAGACCCCTGTTCAGGAATTTTACATGAGAAAGTGGAAGGACTGTTCCTTTCCTGACTTATCATTTTTGAACTATTGAATTAGTTGTTCTGCTGTCAACTGTATTAACTAATATTCTGAGGGTTCTGGGGGACTTACGCAGTTTGTTGGGTTTTTTTTAGACCTCAAAGAGAAAATCTAACACACTATCCACAGCAAAGCAAATGTGCTCTATGGATGAGTGACAAGCTTTAAATAAATCACAACAACAATTTATCATATATATTTGATAAAATATTAAAAAATCTATAATGTAATAAATTGCGTTCCATTACATGGAATAACATGTCTCAAAGAAAACATCCAAACAAGTTTAGGTATTTTTCATGTACAGCTTGCTTGAGATTCTTACATACGATGACAGAAAAGTGTAAAATCATTAGTCAGTATTGTGAAATCCATGTGAACGGACATATCATTACTTCGAAGTTTACCTTTCGCTTCAGACGTGAAGGCCCTTAACTTCTTCAATCAAATCTCAATCCAAATTAAAACCTTTTTTTCTTTTTTTTTTTCCTAAAGTTATTTTTGGCCTTTTTTCTATAGGACAGTGAAGAGAAAGACAGGAAAGTGGGGGAGAAAAATGGGGGATGGACTTGCAGCAAAGGGCCATGAGCAGGATTTGAACCCATGGCTGCTGCGTCAGGGACTACAGCCCCTATACATGGGTCGCCAGCTCAACCAGTTGAGCTATAGCGGCAGCCCAAACCTTTTAAGCATTTTTAATGATTGGTTAATACTCTGCACACTTACATGTAGTCAAAAGCTCGCAGGTGCATAATGACATTGGCATCCATCTTGGCGACCTCCACTGTGGCGATAGGTACTCCCTCAACCTCACCGTCAGGCCCCCGGGGCCCTCGTAGGCTTCCATCACCCCGAATGTGGTTGAGCTTGCAGTTCTCTTTGATCATTTTGACGCACGTGTCACTGATATCTGTTATGGTCACTTTGATGGCATTGCGAAGATGCTTTGCCCACTGGAGGCCCATGATGCCTAAAAGGCAGCAGAGCAGACAGATTGACAATTAACCAATACTGCTAAAACATTATGTAGATTCAAACTTCTTGTTTCTTTTGCTTTAAAGAATGTAATAAAACATAAAGATCAGTCATGACCACCAAGAAAAAAAAAAACATCTTTCAAAAATGTGATTTTTGACTTATTGATTGTTGACACTGGCTCCCAGTACTTTTTAGAATTTATCGGAGGATTTTATCCTTTTTTTTTTTTTTTTGGAAGTTATTTCTTTGGCCTTTTTGCCTTTATTTGATAGTGAAGTTGAGAGAGACAGGAAAGTGGGGAGAAGAATGGGGGAAGGACCTGTGGAAAAGGGCCATGAGCAGGACTCAAACTCATGACCTCCGCATCGAGGACTGTAGCCCCTGCACGTGGGATGCCAGCTCAACCAGGTGAGCTATAGCGGCGCCCCATTTATCAGTTATTTTTTAAGTTTCTTTATACTCTCTCTTTCATCCATGACATTTTAGTTCCATTTTTTAAAGATTTATTTATTTTATACAATATTTCATGGTTGCAGTAAATCCAAAGAAACCACTGGAATTAGATGCTCTAAAGTCTGGCTGGCTGAAAATCAACCTGGGACACTGCCATTGCTGTTATCATTGTTATTAATGTTGTTGTCATAAAACTCTTTTTTTTTTCTGAGCAACAGTTTTTAATCGCAAAATTATCAAATACACAACTGATGGGGATCAATTTATCATCATGCTGTTTTCGTTCGAACAGCAAAATAATTCCTCTAATTCACAGAAATTGTCTGTAACTTAGTGTCACAAAATAAGACAAGATACATTATACCACATTTAAGCCCTTAACATCCTGCATACGGGCCGAGGAAAAAAGGCTGAGCTATTGAGTCAATAACTTCCTTGTCAACAAATTGGAGTCTGTGTTTTTAGTTAGTGGAGGTCTGTATATTTTAACAATATTGTTGTGCTATATTCTAACACTCACCTGTGGCTCCAAAAGCATCCAGACACTCGAGTGGGTTTCTCTCCTCAGCCAGAACAGCCAGTGAACAAAACACCAGCTGCCTAAAACATAAATGTCCCCCCCAAAAATGGTGCTTAAATGGATGTTGATAATCTGTTTGTCTACATATAGCTTGTATGTTTTTGTGAGTTGTCATCTCAACCTGTTGGTCTTCATTTTGCGGTTGAAGTAGGTGTCACTCTTCTGTGGTGTGGTATGGTTTGGGAGGAGCTGGACATTTGTTCCAAGTTCTTTCATGATTTCATAGGCATGACCTGACGGAGCTGCTGACACATGAAGTCAGACAGAAAGATCAACTTGTTACTGCTAATATTGTCAAGTCAAACGGAAGGTTTGCATCTGAAAAAAACACTAAATGAATATTGACTGTATAAACTAATAAAAAGGGACCAAAATAAAGTAACAAGCATCAGGAATCAACTTCCACATGAAGAGAAAGACAGAAGGAACCATTCTGCAGTCATCCCATGCAAGCCTCGTGACTGCGCCTGGAATGGTCGCATATGTGCCCGAATTTCGAGAGTGCGACTATATTTGAAATTCCGGTCACACGGTGCGGCAATAGAAAAATGAGCAAAAATTAAAGCCTGGGCCGAAATAATAGCAGCAGGAAAAAAAAAAACAAGCTCCATGCCCGCTGGCTGACTGAAGCGCACAAACGTACGGGCCATAATACAGCCTGTGAGTCAACTGATCACGATTTGTCAATCAACTTGCTAAATAAAAAAAAATTCAGCAAATCAAGGAGCAAATTGATAAAGACAAACAACAAGCACAGTTAGTAAGCGTGTGTATGATTGGCTAGAAGTTTCTGCGACCCTGTGGCCTTTTTCAGATAAGATTAAGCGTTCTATTGCTGAGTATTTTTCAAAGGCTTCTCAGCCTTCTGTTTCAAGAGAGCGAGAGTGCCCTGAACCACCGAACAGCCAAGAAACCCCTGATTAACCAGATCCTGATACGGATGTGGAGCACAAGAGAGATGTGGAACCCAATAATGATGTCGAAAGCTCGGACACGGATGATGAGCCCCCAGCCGAACCTTTTCTTTTGAAGTTCAGTTAAGTTTCGTAACCACTTCCTAACTGCAAGTGTACTCCAGAGGAGGACCAGCTGCAGAGATGCAGATGCGTCATGTGTCATGATGGCTGTCAAGAAGTCAGCAATTATCAGCATACTGCTGTCTCTATGTCGCCAATAACATGGTTCAAACACATTTAATATATGAACCTATTTTCCATAGTTCAGCTGATGTATATAACAATGTACAGTGTTTTTTGTCACCAACTGTAAGTGTGTACCGTGTTTCGCGTGCTGAGCGATCATAAACGGCTGAAAAGAAACATAACCCGTAAACTGCTGCCAATCAATTGGCAAATATGCTACTGTGTAGAGTGCATATATTTGTAAATCAGATTCTGATGAAGTCAGTGCCTCAGCAGCCATGAACCTCATCACACGTCACTGGTTGTAGCAAATGGTGTGATTCGTCTTTCTTCTCCAAAAACCAACTAAAATTATATACCACACATTGCCAATTGTTTTGCACCTATCAATGTAGGCTTTTTCTTTTAAAATTATTTAAATACTTTATTCCAGGTTATTAACATTGATTAATAGGAGTATTACTTGGTATGGCCCAGAGTTTTGCTTGTGCTCCCAACTTTTTATAATGGTGCACCTAGATTTTTGCTGGTGCTCCTAACTATTTTGGGTTAGGAGCACAGTGCTCCAAGGTCAAAAAGTTAGTCTGGAGGCCTGCCGTGTGTCACCCAGACCATAAAAAAATAATTGATAATAATAATTGATCAGTTTTATATAGCGCTTTTCTAACTCAAACAACAATGTCAATTATTCATTCACACACATTCACTCCGGTGGTGGTAAGCTATGATTGTAGCCACAATGGGGCAGACTGACAGAGACATGGCTGCCCCTCCGACCACCACCTCAAACACAATCCATTCATACGCATTCACACCAGGCAAGGTGGGTGAAGTGTCTTGCCCAAGGACACAACCCAGCCATGAAACATGTTACAGGGCAGAATTGAACCGTCAACCTTCCGATCACTGACCGACTCGCTCTACCACCTGAGCCACAGCTGAACAGACACCGTCATAATGGACGTGGACCAGAAGTGAAGATAGTGTGCCAGAGAAAGATACTGTTTGCTCAGCAGTTTGTGACCTGAGGTTCATAATTGTTTTTAAAAACCCATTGCATAAAAGCATTACATAATTTTAAATATTTCCTAATTTGAATTTAAATTGGTAAAAAAATAAAGAATCATAAAATGGTACAGTAATGGCAAATGCAGTAAATATCAAAATGCAGTAAAGTTCATACATTGCCTGATGTGCAGCTAAAAAAATGATGATAATAGGGGCTAATTTTCATTACATTTAATATGTAATTTAGTAAGACATTTCGACAGGTGTGTGCGATGTTTATAAAGTTGGTTATTTTTGCTACCTGTGTGTATTTATATTATGATTTTTCAATAGTTTACACTATACGTGCAGTGTTCAAAGTATTTTTCCCTTTCTGTGTTTTGTTTATTTGATTTAAAGGTTATTCACCTAATGTTGATGACAAATGCTAGTGCCTAATGCTAACAGCCTACGTCTGTGGGACAAATGGAACTGCAAAATCAAACAGTCAAACTTAATTGCCAAATTTGCAAAGAGAGGATAGTAAAAGGAAAAACTGTTTGGTCCTTGAGTAGAAAACAGTTAAAACTTTAAGTAGATGGATAAATTGCATAGATTCTAATTGCATAACTTAAGTAATGCTTTGTTGCATTCACATGTTTGGTTTGCAATGTACATGGTGAAAAACGTCTTCTAAAGCCAATATTAACTTCTTTTTCCAATAGCAAACCCCACAGTCGATTGAAAAGTTGCACGAAGAGCTGAAACAATAAGGAAAGAATATGAATATTCTGCAACAATTCTGATAATTAAGTATTAAAGTCAGAAAAGTTCTCAGGTTGGAAATAATCTGGTCTTACTGCTGCAGATCACAGGTCTGTGTGTCATGTCAAATACCTGGGTGAAGCAGCTTTTACTGTTTGTGCACAAAATGCAAATATTTTGTACATTAATTCTACACTGAAGCGTTTAACATTAGTGTATGTGCATCACTTTCAGGTAGGTTTTCAATGGGTCCGTTTCAGATAGGGCCCACCATTTAGACATGTGAGGACCACTAATTAAAAGCACATTTCAAAATGATCGTTTTATATCCAGTATAAACAGGAGCAAATACTAGAGTGAGAAGAACAGAATTTAGTACATAATTGCTCACATAATTGGTGTTTCATTCAGCTATAAAAGTCTAGTACACAACGTTTAATGCCTAGAAAGCTCAGTGTTTCCTACCAGGCTCTTCAAATGGTACATCTGAGCTCCCAGAGTAGCTGGCCTCAGTCTCTCCTTTGTTGATGTGCCGTTTAAGATGACTGATCATGTCGGTCTTTCGGGCGATAGTGACAGAACACACCACACAGTGGTAGTGAGCCACATGTCTCCCCGACACCTGGAAGGAGTGAATATGAACAACAAAGTGTTGAAGGAAATTTGATTGTCTCTCTCGCAACACAGAAAGGACTGTTTATAGAATATGCAGAATGATAACAATGACTTTATTGTAGCTGTGACATCCTGTAATAATTTGGTAGTACCTAAAAGGAAAATGAGTCAAGTGTTTATCACACTTTAGGAAATTCACTTCTAATTGTTATTATTGCATGGTCACCTTTAAAGTCAGTTCACAAACTGCACAAACATTAAACTTTGCCCTTTAATGTTCCTGCACATTACAGGCATATTAAAAGCGAGTAAATAATGAATATTTACTTGCTTTTAAATTGAACTCCATAAGTCTTGACAGGTATCGGTAACATCAATTTAGAAAGTTCATTCTATGATATTCTAAGACCTTTTCTATTTTGCCAGCATTTCATGCATCTACAGACTTTTTCTTGTAATTAAATTCTGACCACATGTGCTGTCTCAGAATCTCCACATTACATAGCTGTGAAATGTTCAGACCCACAGAATGAAGCCTCTGAGAAGCCATTTCTGCTGACATCAATTTTCAGAAACGTACAAAGGGCTTGATATGAATTAGACCTCCTGTGCTGATCCTGCCTGAAACTGCAGTAGTAAGATGATCTGCAGACACTTTGTGTATTTAAACCTGATCTCCGCTGAGGCTGGGCTTCAGGTTCCGGCAGGGCAGGTGGCAGATGCACATCCTCTGGCCTGTTAAAAGACAAAAAGACAAAAGTCAGCAATTTATCATGATAGTCATTATCGTCATCATTGCTGTCAACCTTCGCTCATCCCGAGCTGAGCTGTAGAGGCAGCAGTCTGAGCAAAGTAGTCCAGACATGTTTCCCTACCAACACAACAAAGCAGCAGCAGTTCTGGTCTGACCTAACTCTGCATGTCTGAGTTCCTGACCCTGTGCCTGGTAATGATTCCGTAGATCCTGTGGACGAAACGTTGTTGGACATTTGTATCAGCAGTCTCACTCTTCCAGTCACTACCAGGAGCTTATGATCACAGGTGATAGGAATCAGCTGGTAAACTGAGTGCTTCAGTCTGCGGCTCAGCGCCTTTTTCAGTATGACAGACAAGTCCAGCTCCAATCCATCTGTGGCTCACACTTCTGTCTACCCTCACATTTGAACAAGACATGTTAATACTGGAATTCTGACGAGGGGCAATAACACTCTCACCACCTGCAGTATGCAGACCACCATTTTCCAGCAAAGCACCAAGGCCTCAAATTTAGAGATCCTGATTCTCATTCCAACAACTTCACACTTGCTTGCAGGACCACACCTGGACACATTTGGACATAACAGGAATGCCTTGAGATTCTGTCCATGGATACCATGAACTAAATCAGGGGACAAAGTACAACCGATGCAGAGTCCAACATGCACAGAAAAGGTGCTTGGCCTACTGCCCAGTATGCAAACCCTTACAAAGAGAGTAAGGACACAGTCTTCTCCTGGTCTACAAAACACATGCAGAAACAGGTAAATTATCAAGATCCTTCCAGCACCCCTGTGACTAAACACAGCGAGTCCACTGGTCCATGACCAGAACAGAACCCATATTGCCCCTTCTGATTTTTAAGTTACTCATTTGGTGGGACTCTCCTTTCCTGTAAAGTGTGGTAACGTCAACAGTTACAAACTGTTATTGTTAAACTGGAAACTGAAAATCATTATTTTGGTATTGACTACTTTTTTACATCATCCAGAGTTGTGCAAGCAACCAACAGCATATGGTGAAAAAGTACATGGACTCTTTTCAGAGTCTAGTAACAATACACACTAACTACTAACAGCATGTAACTACACAAAAATTCATGAAAATGGTAAGTTAGCTCTTAAAACTGCACATATTGTCCAAAAAAAACCAACCCAGAATCCCAACTACATTTGAATTACAATATTGAGAAATGTATTCCAATTCTGTATTTTTTTATTTTTGTGGACAAGTGAGCATGAAAATGACCACATTGTACCTCTGTCTTGAGGTAATTCAATGAGCTATTAAATGTCCTAATAACATTACAGTAAAGCTTGTAGTATGTGAGGCCAGAAGCAAGATCAGTGGGTTCATGAGGTATGTTGAGCCTAAAGCCAAAGTTTTTACTGAAATTAAAAGGGCTCTCTTTTAACCTAGCTACATCACCATGCTAACTTATACTGTACTGCACCACTGACCTGCTCCAGAGGAGGTTATGTTCAAAGTTTCTGATTTAAATTAGTTGTACCTTTCTACCTTTCACCAATTTGTTTCCTGAAGATTCTCTTTCAGCAATACAGTTTCTTACCTGGAAGCATGCATTTTATCTGCAAACCTGTTTATCTGTACTTACGTACGGTTACACAACTGAACAAAGCTGTGCAGCTATAGTAGCACAAACTGTTTGCCACATGAACCTGCATGCATTCAGTTGGTGATGCAGAAATCACATAAATATGTTTTTATGTGATTTGCCTGATTTGCTGCTGAGTTTGTTTGTTTCCACTGTTGGTACTGCAGCTGACAGAACACGGATTAGAAAACTGATTACAGTATTGGTATTTATCACAGAGAATATTCACTCAATAAGATTAATTTCATTTTGATTTTGTCAAAAACTTAAGTGATTTTCTAGTATCCTTCATTACATGACAGCATCAAACCTAAATACTCTTATGAAGTTTAAATTTTAAGAGCTCTAACGTGCAGCTGCTATTTTACACAATGAACAGTTTTCTACCAGCATTCCTCTTTTGCATCATTTACAGTATCAGTACTTTCTACTGTAATAAAATTTTATATTCCTCAAAGCTCTCCATTATAACAAGCTAATACTCTTGACTGATCGGCCACACACTATCGATCCATGTTGTGCAGAGGAAGAGTGACCTGATGCATGAAAAACCCTATTTTTGAAAGTGCAGACAGAGTCTGAGGAAGAAAACCTGGGGTTTTAGGTTTTGCCGAGCCCACTTAGACCATGTCAAACTTGCTTAGTAGGACACCCCTCCAATCTTTGATTTGTTTTTTACTTTATAGAAGACCTAAATGCTACAAAAATTGAGGAGCTGTCTTTAAGTTTTGCCAAAGTCAAAATCTGTGAACATCTCACCACAGACTTATGGATTGTTTTTTCTGGTCAGTCCCTGTAGGTCCAAGTGAAGGGACATCTTAATGGTCCAGCTTACAACCACAGCTTACTAGTTTTTTATGTTTCAGCATGACTGTGCATGAAGCCAGTTTCATGGTTTTAAGAAATGGTTTTCCTAGTTTGGCATAGATGAACTTGACTGAATTGACTTAACTTAAGCACTAATCTCAGCCAAATCCAGGATTAACTGAAACACAGAAAGTGAGCCAGACTTTATTATCTAACATTAGTCACTGTTTTTGTGTTTGAATAGGTGCAATCCCGTTCAGACCATATTTCAAAATCTTGAGGAATAACTAAAACCAGACAAATAGAGTGAGAGGATGCTTCGCTTTCCTACCTTGAAACTCCACATAGACTTTCCAGTGGAGGTTCTGCAGGTGTCGGCGGAGTTTATGGCTGTAACAGGCTTTAAATTTCTCCTCAGGACACAGAGGACACGATTTCCTCCCCGCTGATGAGTGAGTAAGTGAGTCAGTGAATACCAAATCACCATAGTTGAACCACATAAAAATTTTTTGCTCATTTCTTTCTTTAATAATCAATTAAATGTTCGGTGTGTGAAATGCCAAATCACCATATTTTTTAAAAAAAACAAACAAAAAACTTAACAGTAGGACTGCAAAAATATTTTTTGTCTGTAGTATTTTTAATCATCACATCATATTTAATGGATCCCTGCAGTGTACCAAAACGTATGCACCAACATGTGTCGAATATGCCCCAGATGAAGATACTAAATAGCAGTTAGCAAGATGATTCTTCCTAAAAATCTTAATTTTCAAACATTGCGTTTAAAATATATTCATGTTTTGCATTTTTGCTCAAAAACATAAACATTAAACAGCATCTGAAACATCCTTTGTCACTCAGCCAACTGACTAATCATCTAATTTTTTCACCTCTGAAAATTACAAATATAAAATCAATGTCCTCTAACTCCTGTCCTATACTATTTTCAACTCTCATATGTATCTAATATTCTCTGTATTACCTCTGTTTTTCTTAAAAATGTAAAACTAGAAGAAAAGAAAAGAAAAATTAAGATTCACTGAGGAGCTGAACTCACCACCATTGAGGTCAACCAACATCTCCAGGCCTTCGAGTTTAGTTTGGATGGACAGGTGTCTCTCTGTTTGTGGTAGAGGAACATTTTGGATTTTGTCAGAGAAATCTATCTGTCAAGTATAGTTACCAATTTTTTAAGTTATTTTGTAATTAAATCCAGAGTCAGTAAATACAGGTATGCAGCTGCAATGTAAATGAGTCAGCACACAGAAGTAGCTTCTATTAAATTACCAGTGGCTGCAGTTGAGGGTTTGGTATCACTATCTGCATCTGCTTCATTCTCAGCCACCTGCTCTGCAGCCAGGCAAGTATTCGAAGGTGTGTCTCCAACATCACCACCTGTAGACAGAAAGTAAGGAAAAAAATTGTTCCTTTAGCTATTTAAAACAATGGCACCAGCTCAACTATGTCTGTGACAGTTTACTATGTTGTGGAAAATACATTGAGTGACTGAAAAGTTGAGTGCATTATGTTTTCATTTCAGTTTACATTTTAAAGAAAAGCTTATGATTAAACTTGACATTTTTGGTCGCTGCGAAATTAGTTTCTTTGTTCCAGCTAATTACCTGGGTACTTTTCTTACAATCATCTGAGTTGGCTTGTATGAATTTGTAAATGAGATATTTCTAAGGAAAAACTGAGTTGTCCTAATTATAAGTAAAAGGCTGCATTCTTTCTAATTGCAGTTTCAAGGGGGAAAAACTAAATTATGATTTATTAAAAAAAAGATCAGTCAGTCAGTATCTATCTAGAGAGTGTCCACTCAATGTGTACTCTTTCCATATGAGCATCTCCAAAGACAAAGAGCTGAGCACATTTAAGCCTGACATCTAATTCAGTTCAATTCAATTCCATTTAATTTTATTTATATAATGCAGTTTACAACACATGTCATCTCACAGTGCTTAACATAGTAAGGTGAAGACCTGACTAATTTAAACAGAGAACCCAACAATTTCAAATGTTGCCTTTGGACTCCCTCTGAGCAAGCGGTTGCTGATTGCTTGCTCAGAGGGAAAGCTTTTCTTTTTACAAGTCTTGGCATATTACATGTGCCTACTAAATTTGATATAGGTAGGTGAAATGTAGCAGGACAGAATTGTTAACATTGTTGTAGGAGGCACTGTGAAGCCATTTTCCTACACCCATGCCCATGACCCATTGAAAATACAAAAAATGTCACCACCTGTGATGCATCTAACAATTTTTGGCCTCTCTACATACCCTTACCAAGGTCTTACACTCAGCTGACCATATTTTAGATGTATCTGATGAACCTGCTAGGGTAGTTTGTGCAAATATCGGGCCAAACCCTTCTTGTTGACAGCAGAGGGTGCTTAGACTAAGAGTCAATAATGGTGGTGACTTGTCTTCAGAACAGGAAAAATCTGACAATGTGGAGTCGAACCACATCCACAAGTTTCACAATATATTATCGTGAAGGCGTTAAGGCTTTTCAACCAAATTTAATGAGGATCTAGTTAGCCTGCTAGACAGATCATAGAAGCACAGAACCTGTACCTTGTTTTACCAGCAGGTGGCACAATGACTATGACTCCATATTGACATAAATGCATTTAGACCAGGGCTTTGTGACAAATTGATCAATATGCATTTGAGTTACAACTATGCCCTGTTACATGGCAAAACACCAACATTTGTTCTCTAGAAAGTCACAGTTCTAAAATGGAGGAAATGGACACTATTCAAAAACAAAGACAATGCTTACTCAACTGACTGAGAATTTGTATGCCCCCTTTTGTACTATTTTATGTTATTTATTTTCTCTGTTCCTGCTGTCTTTATACAAATAAAACTAAATAAAAAGTTTAAAAAAAAAAAAAAAAAGAAAGTCACAGTTCTGATCACACTTCTTTAAATAACACCGTCCAAATTTGAAGTTGGCTGACTGATTGCCGAGGAGGAGTTCCTTATGGTATAAGAGCCGCAAATGTCACGAACTGCACCAAAATGCACAGGAAAATTTTCCAAAACTGGTGGACTTCCTGTGAGACTTGGGGCCTGCCTCCAAGAGTGTTTCTCGCACATCTGAACATAATACAAGTGCCTACAAAATTCTATACATGTAAACCTTGGTGAAACCTAATGTGGGGCAGGAAATTTGGGTTTACATGGCGCAAATGCCCTCTTGTATCTGTAGGGTTTATTAAGACCCAAATACAAAGGCCCTTTTCAGACATGGGGATATGGAACATTCAATCTGTTAAATTGACAGTATTTTGTCATTCAGTCACTTTACCTTTACTGTTCCTCACATCTGTATTCAGTCATACTCACCACAGTGGCAGGGAGAGTCACAGTATGCACACGGTATTTGTCATTCATGCGAGATAAGACAATGCAGTAAGTGTATAATACCTAATAATGCAATGACAAAAAAAAGACTAAATCTAAACTAATAACAGCTTATCAAACCGTCCAAATAACTAATAGCCTAGTTTATTGAGGATATCCTAACCAGTGAAGATTCTGTCCATGTGTGATGACTCCTACATTATGAACATACACACTACTGCTATGCACAGGATTGTACTTTGGGCTGTACACAGACACATGTTGGATGTTAGGAGTCCAAGCAGCAAAGATGGCAAGAAAACTTTATGTATTTGTTCAGACTTTTAGGGTTCCAAGTTGTGAAAACTGCTTAGAACCCTATTTTTTCTTTGTTTGTTTTTTAAAGATACGTTATTAATATGGTTATTATTATTTTTTAGACTAAAATGAGTAGGCAGTGTAAAGGTGAAAGATTGGTGTCAAAAGATTCTTAAGGACCTCCTTGTTAAGAGTTAGGAGTTAGACACGTTTGCGATTTTGTACATTTTTTTTTTTTACAAGTGGCATGACTTTGACGTTTGACAGCCTATTGGGATTTTACGATAAGACACTGTAACTTCGCCAGGCAACCTTCACATTGTACCATATTTTCAAACATTCACAGCACATGGTCCAAAACCACAGTATCAAATCTGATACAAATTTGCAAAACAACAGGGTAGTAATTATTTTTTTCTGATATATTCTCAAAACAGATTTTCATTCCATTGGTGATCTCCTACTCCCCTCCAGGGGCTAAGCTGGTAGTGGAGTCATTTAATTTAGTTTGTCCTTGGTGGGGCCTCCTCTTCCTCACAGAGACAAAAAGCGAGTGAGCACAATGTAAGTCAATACATTTTAGATGAAGTAATGTTTCAGGGTTAGGGCAAGGTCAGAGTAAGTCCATGGAATGTCATCGGAAGTCATGGATATGCAGTCGTGTGTGTCAAACATCTTCTACTGACATGATTTTTAAAAAATGGAAAACTAAATTTGTCTGAACAATATTTAGTATTCTTACACATATATACTCCTTTCAGCAGATCAGTGTGCAAACAGACTCTGTTAGTGTACAGCATCATAGTTTACTTCTACTGCTGCCTGTGTGTGGCAATTAGAGGAAAAACAAAATTGTTTTTAAATTTAGTCTGTCAAGGGATGGGCTCAGAAGTGGGAAAAAAAAATGTATTTTTGATTGGTGCTTTGGAGTGGATGTGGCAGCATTGTCGAGTAGCACCCCGTCCAAAACCTCAACGATAAATTGTAACCACGTTACAGCCTCTACATTAATCTTTACACACTTGTACTAACTTTGGTATGCACAAGTCTGCCACTTTGAATTTACTAACGTTAATAACTTTAGCAACCTTTTTTTTTGTCATTAAACAGGAAGATTATGTAATGCAAATGTACATTCTACTATTGGCCTCCAAATGTTTCATGCTTAATATGTTGTTTATGAATTTGATCTTGCTGTTGTTAAAGTAGTAGTGAGATTATCGTCACACATGGACACAATGTTTAGCGTTTGAGGAACACTAATGGAAAAGTGATCTGTGTTTGAAAGATAGAACGCGTCACCTTCAAAGACTGATGCAGGCAGCAATGTCACCTATTCAGTGTCTGAGAAGAATTTTTAAACATTTAGACTTACAAACTGATTTCTACCTAATTTTATTTACCTAAGAAAATAATTTATATTTTTTCTTAAAATCTCAAATACAACCAAGCAGTAAGTAATAACTGTAGCCAGCAACTAATACTTTCTCAACTTCCCTCGAATTAATACCATATGTATTAGAGCCCAATCACTTTTAGCAGTCAATTTAAGCCTATCACAAATATATAGATAAATTGGTTTTAAACAACATTATGCAGGAAAAAAGCTGAGGATGTGTCAAAAATTATGTTATCACATAGTTGGATGAGTAGCTGTGGGGCTCACTGGCAGAGTGCACATGGTGTGTGTTCACTAGTCTGTGAAACACACTGCTGGAAGATTGTAGGGATTGACCACTATGTATTTTTTTGATGCCAATGTCAATATCAGTTATTTGTAATGGAGATGACCTATATCTGGAACCAATACACATGAATGCTGTACATGAACAGCATGTGACAGCAGAGCCAGGTGAGCAGCTCTTTCTGGGAGCTGCACAAAAACACTCCTGTTAACCAGCAGGAAGAGGCTTCCAGGGTTAGTGTACATTCATCTACACACTCTGAAGGGTGTGGACTTACATTGAAGGGTATTCAAGGCAACAAGGGACACACTTCATAGGGAAAAGCTAAATATGTACTAAAGGCACAGATATATTTAATTAACGGCTGGATGCTGCCACATATTACTGCATAAGTAACCATCAACAACATACAGTAGTACAACGGTTACGGGAGGTCATCCTTTATCTCATATTTTTCATTTTTATAACAGCAGCGCACTGTCCTGATCAAACTAACGTCTTCTATGTAACATGTTCCATTCATGACTTGGAGTATATGTTGGCGCCAGGATTTGTGAAACCTTTAGAAGTTCTCATGGTTTCAGTGGTTTGCTCTTTAGATGGGCACACCGGTGACTTGTTAGTTGTCAGCTGAACAGGAACAGAAACAGAACCGTCCGTCCGGCGGGTTACGAGCAGGCAGCTCGGAGCGGCTCTGGGTCCTGTAGTGCAGCTCCGCCATGAGGCCGTGTCGACGGAACATGCAGCATAAAGCCCAATAAACCCGCCGATAAAGCCTCTAGGAAGACGGGCACACCAGGGCACCCGGCCACCCGCTGCCCAGGGGGAGCTGCTAGCGGCTCAGCGCTTTGCTCGCTCTTGTTGTGGACTATTTAGGTCCTATGGCGGAGCTCCGTGGTGAGGACCTCGGTTAGTTCCGCAGTTGCAAACTCAAATTCTCGGTGAATTGATGCACAGCGCCGGTAAAACCTGAAGCACACACGATGCTGCACGTTACACAGCCCAAACAGCGACGACCTGAGGGACGGGAGCGGGGGACTCACGCTTGCTGCCGACGTCCTCCTGGTGTGGCTTCTCGGCGGCGGCTGCCTCTCTGAGCTCCGCCATTACGAACTACGGCAGCTGCGCAGGAAGCGTCGCGGTCTACGGCCTCTACGTAACCAGAGCCGCTTTAAGCGTTAGTGGGGTTTGAATCTTACGGACGCGCATCGAACACTTTAAGCTATCGTTTGGACCCATTATATTTGTAACTTTCCCACTGGACAGTGAAGAGATGTTGTACAAGAGACGAACAGTCACCAGGTTATTAAGATTTTTTCTTTATCAAAGTAAGAGGATGATAGTCGTCAGTACATCGAAAGGTACAAAGGAAGGAAATGGAGCTGATCCATCTCGTTCAAATGACAGGATTTGATAAATCATCCGAGGCTTCTTAACTACATCCACCTGCAGCCACGGGTCACCTGTTGTCACCTGTGTTCACCTGTGGGAGGCTCCAGAAGAGCCCTGCTCATCAAGCAGCACTGTGTTCCTGGGAAACTTGGCATCAGAGACAAGACACTGACTTTTTCTGTATCAAATCCTGGCTGAAGGCTCCTAAAACACTTTGTGGAAACTGGGTTGCTTGTATCCAAAGCACAGTCAAGCAGAGCAGAAGTGAGCACACTGAGGAGATTAACTCATTAAACCCGGTGTATTAATACACAGAAAAGTAACATCAGGAGAGACACAGAATTTGTTGAGGGATTCAAGATTCCAAGTGGCAAAAAGTCCTGTCAGAAAAAGGAACCACGGTGAAATTAGTTTGAAGTTGGATATTGGATATTCGCGCTCCGCGTAGTCAGCGGCGTCTTGCTCACAGTTGATACGATTTACGGACTCAGACTTCGGCTCGCTCCTCTCGGCTGCATCGCCACCCAACCAGCCACATTTCACTTAGGGACCGTCAACGAATTTCTGAACCAAGAACCCTTGAGAAATAAAGATTATTAAATTTTCTATTTTGTGACCTCGTGACTAAAAACCAGTGTGGATATATTCAACTGCACTGGACAGATGAGACACACCAATTTATTTTCAATTTTAGCCTATATAATATTTTTTTTCTGAATTATTATATTCATAAATTTTGAATATTCTTCAATAGCTTCCAGGTCATGTGACCCAGTGACTTCAAATTAGTGTCAAATTACTCAGCTAGTCTGGACAAATGAGGCACACCCTTTTTTATTACAATTTATCCTTTGTAATATTTGTTATGATTATTTATATTCATAAGTTATAATATTCTTCAATAGCTTCCATGTCATGTGACCCACTGACTTCAAATCAGTGTCAAATTATTCAACTACACTTGACAAATGAGGCACACCCTTTTTTATTATATTTTAGCCTTTGTAATATTTTTTAGGATTATTTATATTCATAAATTATTAATATTTTTCAACAGCTTCAAGGTCATGTTACACAGTGACTCCAAAACGGTGTCAAATTACTCAGCTAGTCTGGACAAACGAGGCACACCAATTAATTTTCACTTTGAGCCTTTTGCATATTTTTTGTGAATTATTATATTCATAAATTTTGAATATTCTTCAATAGCTTCCAGGTCATGTGACCCAGGGACTTCAAATTAGTGTCAAATTACTCAGCTACTCTGGACAAACGAGGCACACCAATTTTTATTCCATTCTAGCCATTTTAAGAAATTTTTTGATTATTTATATTCATAAATTATGAATATTCTTCAACAGCTTCCATGTCATGTGACCCACTGACTTCAAATCAGTGTCAAATTATTCAACTACACTTGACAAATGAGGCACACCCTTTTTCTTCTCCATTTTAGTCATTGTAATATTTTTTATGATTATTTATATTCATAAATTATACATAGTCTTCAATAGCTTCAAGGTTATGTGACCCACTGACTTCCAATCAGTGTCAAAT